TAAGGCGTCAGGCTTGTACTTTTGCTATGGGTGTGTTGTTTTTACACCTAAAACTCTATCGTCCTTTTATATTTTCCGTTTTTGCCTTGGATACCGTCATAGTGATCACTTTTTATACTGAAACTTTCTCCATCTTTATCACTTGTTGCGAGCTGAATTTTTCTTGCCTTCAATCTAAAAATATTTTAAAATTTGCTATTAGTGATTATAATTGAAACCTGACGAATAGCCATCTTTGATGAAACAATAATTAATTTGTAATCCTCTCACCATAGTAAGTCTTCCACTTCACTGATAAACTTGTTTCTTCTCGATTTAGTGTTCTTCTGTTCTTTTTCCAATAAATGTATTAAATTTATTTCACAAAAATTTTAATCACCATATTTTCAACGAGACGAAAACAGTTCTATCAGATGCAGTGTTGACCGGTAAGTGAGAGCTTATCTGACTATATTACAGTTTTTTGTTTCACTTCATGTTGAATTAATAAAGAGCAAGAATAAGGATATTTCGAGAGAAGTTTTTAATTTGCAACAAACTCAGTTTACTCCTTACTTAAAGATGATCCTCAGTTCCTATTCTGCTCATGTTTAAGCAACTTATTTCAACTACATCAGTTTCTTCCAAAAATTTTCTTTTCATTCATTATGAAATCTACGGATTTGTTGTGAAGTAATTTTTTTTTATCAGATTGTTTTAGAAATTTGTTTTTCGGTTATTTATGGAAAATTCAAGGGAAAATGAGGATGAGTGGTGAATGATTATCATCTGCTGTTCTTTTCGGTTTGAATAGTGAAATTTCTGGAATCTGCATCTTTATTTCTAACTCTTAGTGATAGCAAATAAACGGAAGTGCATATCTAGATCTAATTTATACTCTTTTACATGCTTTGACGAATATATTTTCAGGATATTTTATACTGAGTTGTCAGCTTGTTTATTTAGTTTGAGTTTTCCCAATTTGTCTTTTGTTCACAATTCCATTTATTTACATTTCGTTCAGTTTAATTATTCTCATATTTTCTGTTGCTGCTTATTTTCTCTCTCTTAATTGAGGTTTTGTTCAGATCTTTGTTCACGAACTGTGTAATATTTCTTCTTGAATTATTTCGTTTTAAGTTTTAGGACAATTTTTCTTTTTCTTTTGTTCTATGGATTTGGCTGTTTTGGTTATCAATATAGCCAAATCCCCTTGCATAATTTTTCAAAAAATCGGTTACTGGTCAAAATAGATTGTTTTATTTATTGTCTTTTTCTAAATTACAGTTTTTTTTTTTGCTGTTACCTCTGGAATCTTATTTTTGAAGCATATTTGTCTCACACTTTCTTGCACATGTTTTATTCATTTGCATTTTTCAGTCTTTTAGTTTGTGTGAATTTGATAATTTATCGGTCTACTTACTTTTTCTCTAAATTCCACCGATCTCATTAGTTTTTGTTCTTGGAAAGAATAATTACTAACTATTATATGTTTTCAAAATACTTTCAATTTTTTTGCGGAGATTTTCATTGAAATTTTTAGATTTTTCCTACAACGCGGTGCTGCACCAAAGGGTTTGTGGACCGATATGAGATTGCCCGAATTTTTGCGCTCATACATTGATCGTGTTGGAAGGGAGTTGAAATTACGAAAGTTTCTGTCGGTCTCACGCAAATATATCACACAGTCAGAATTTTTACTGATGTTAATGTCAAAATACTTTTAGTTACAAGATGCCTGAAAAATGCCCGTAACACTGAGTTAACTTATTAACGTGTATCAGTACGGGAAGAATGTCTGCTTAAAGTAACTGATACGATTTTGCATTAATTGTTAGCGAACTATTGCTATTGCAGTGACATAACCATGGGTCGTGAACGTGTTGCAATACCTCTTGAGAATGGCACAGATGATGGAGCTACGTTGGACCCTAATTTTGAATATGTGAATGCTGTTGATGATCACGATTCATTTCAAACTCATATCGACTTTTCACTGGTTATTCTCATTTTTACATGTTCAGAATTATGGATTTGGTTCAATTATTTTTGAACTATGGGCATTTCGATCAACTGATAATGGTCGGACATCTTTTATCACAAAGTCCTTTCAAGTAGCCCATCTGCTGGTGCATCTGGCATGCAAATCATATGAGTGGATGCACTGCACTGAATAACTGAATATTTAAATTTAATGAATTTCCCAACTGAGACGGTAGCTAATTTACTATCATTTCTAATTTTGCGATTAAAGAAATAAAATAACCTTCAGTGTTTTTTATAAGATTTTTTTTTTCAGTTTCTCTACCACATCACGATTATTTTTTAGGCATGTCGCTGCGCAAACGACTGTCAGGTTGATTGTCCTTGTTTGGCCCGCTGTACATATGATGCAGATGGACATCTTACTGGTCGAGCAGTAGAATTGGCTGACAAAGCAGAATTAGGTGTGCTACTGGAATGCAGTTCATGCTGCTTTTGTTCAAATAAGTGCAGATCGAGAGTTGCACAAAAAGGTGTTCATTGCGGACTTGAGGTATGCTTTTTATATATGTCGAGGCTGCAGAATTCAAGTTAAGAACTGTTCTTAAATTATCTAAATTTGTAGGTTTATCGTACAAGGAAATATGGATGGGCTGTGAGGACCTGTTCTTTGATAATGAAAGGTAAGCTTTAGTAAATTTTTATTGTAATATTGTATCTATCAAATCGTCGCTTCAAGTGTCACTTCAAGGTCTCTTCTGCTTGATTTCAGGAAGTTTTGTTTGTGAATATACTGGAGAACTTATCTCAGATGCAGATGCAGATAAACGCGAAGATGATACTTATTTATTCGAAATTGTGGTAAATTTTTCAGAAATTGATCGACCCCGCGAGCGAGTATAGCATAGATATACCGGAGTCTTATATATGTAAATATATTTAATAAACCTATTGAGTGCTTTGGGATCCATTATTTCTGTAGATATTTTGAGATCATTTTGAAGCAAACATTTCTCTAGAGAATTTTCAATCAGACATGATCATGCGGCCAAAACATGAAAATTTGGAAAAAGAACAAATTAAAATTGTCAGGATGTAAGCATCTATTTAGTATTTGGCATTAGATAAAGTTCTGAAGAAACTTAAGTGAACTCAAAACACTTACTTTGGTGGTTTGAGAAGTTTGCGGTGGTCAAGTTACTAGCATAAATTTTTAATGGTACCTTAAACTTTCCAAGTTTCTTCTATGATTGCAGAAAATTCTCTTTAGCAATTGCATTGTGTCATTTTTAGGACGAAACTTCAGCCTACTGCATAGATGCAAAATTCAAGGGGAATGTTTCCAGATTCATCAATCATAGCTGTGAAGCAAATTTGGTCACCCTCCGAGTTGTATGGGATGCAAATATACGTCATTTACCTCATATCTGCTTTTATGCTAAAAGAGATATTCAACAGGTGCATCAACAAAATTCTACCTGTTGATTTTCGTCTATACTTTCATTTCTTATGTAGCTTGTTTCCATAACTTAAGGGAGAAGAATTAACTATCGATTATGGAAACCAGTGGTGGGACGTGAAGTTGAGGAATTTTCCATGCCAGTGTGGATCGAAATCTTGCAAATATACTAGTACGGTAAGAGAAGAATTACTACGGGATGGACTTATCACTGCAGAAGAAAACAGAGAATTGGAAGAACCTTTTGGTGGCAAGTTATAAGATTTTCTTTATAATGATCATTTGTTATGTACTTTCTCATTTTAGTTGAATATAATGTGGAACTTCATACCTGACTTGCTATTGGACTTACTGATGCCGATTGTTCCTGAATGCTCTTCCTCTTTTCTATTATTATTAGGAATAGATATTGCATTATTCCCTCACTTTGCAACTAATACTATACATTATCAGTATCATTGAAATAAGCAGTTATACGTAAACTAATTTTGAATGCTACTCGTGAGTGTTAGCTTAACCACAAAAAAAGTTCATCGAATTCTTAGTCCAGAAAAAATACTTAATGGCAAATTTTGTAGATGCAGATCTATTAGACTGACTTAGTATTTACTCGAGATATTTCCACATGCGAACATGTTCCGGAAGTTTCTGGTCTTTTTTAACAATCCTCCGTCCTAGTTTTATTTTCTATTATAGTGTGATATCGTAGACCTTCTTCAGGTAAATAATTGTTTACGTTCATTATAATACATGCTTGAAACTTGTTGGCGTTGAGACACCGTTTCCAGTACAAGTTGATAGTCGAATCTTCATGGAAACAACCATGAAGACGGTGTTTCGTGTAGCTATGATAATCCGTACACGATTAAGGATTATTTGAGAATCATTTTCATACCTGACACATTCCTATTAATAATTTACAGGACCAGAGGGATATCGGCATTCAACAAATCACAAAACCTCCGGACCACAAATTAAACGTTCTTGTCACGGTTTGTTAAAATTTTTTATGCCTGCTCTGCAGAGGGCTTACAAATACACATTCATACTAAACAATCTTACCAGTTATTTGCTTAGTTTTTTAGCAACTGAATGCTCTACTTAAAGAATTATATTCAATTTGAAATGGTAAACGGGAAGGAATTCCTTTGAAACTCATTTATCAGCTGTATAAAAAAAAAAAAAAAAACAATTAGGACATATAAATAACACAGTTATATATGCCAGCGTTTAATGGCATACAAAAAGCTAAAACGATCGTAAACTATTTTAAGAGCGAGATCGTGGAATCTATAAATACAGAAACCCGTGGTCGGTTTGTGAACAAACGTATAATCCCTTGATCTTTTTTTGATTAAGGTCTGGAACTTACAATGATCAAATTCTTTTTAATATTAAGCCAAAAACTTGGAATTCTTGGTAAATAAATCTCTTGATACTGACTTTATATACAGCTTGTAAATATGAACATTTTATAAACTACATCACTGCCAACCAGAAATGATGTATAACTTTGAAACATATTGTCAGGATATATAACAATTCATAAAAGAAGATTCAAACATATTTAAAACTGGATTTATTTCCACTGCTGCGAATTGCTGTAATCATGGGGGTAGGACATCGGCGCTCCGAGGTTACGATATGTGGTCCGTGGATTTACCCAGCTTTGATTTTGTGGGAACTGACTCGGATAATTTGACGAGTGCATAGAACTTTGTGGCGGTTGTGATATTGGATACTGAGTAGGATACACGTCTTGATTTTGAATTTGTTGCTGCATCTGTTTCGCACTATTTTTTGGCGTTGGGATGCTGACGCATACACTTTTACCTTTGATGATAAAGTCGCGTATTTGACAAAACCGTTTCGTTACATTTGGATCATTCACCGTTACAAATGCAAAACCACGATGAGGTTTGGGGATGAATACTCGTTCGACCTGAGAAAAGAAACTTGCAGGATTTCCTTTCAAAGATTAAGAAAATAAATACAACTTTTCCCCTTCCCCCGCTGCTCTGAATCTTGACTTCAGACTTTAAGTAAAACAATTTTTTTTGTAACTTTGTTTCTACCACCCTATAACTTTGCTTACAAATGTATAAACAAAGCAAAACTGTCTGTTTCACATTTATCTGGGATCACACATTTCAGAATTTTTTGTGCATTTTGACATTTCAAATTATACCATTGCCTATTCAATAACACTGAAGCAGGAAGAGGATAAGGAACTTCGGTCATCAGATCCAAACAGAAAGAAATTATAAAGTCAAAAGAAATTAGTTTTTATTAATAAACTGCAAATGAGGGCCATCTCTCTTTAGCCGAATTAAAAAAAAAAAAAAAGAAACCTTGGCAAGAGGAGAAAGTCTCTTTGCTTCCGCATCGAAAACATCGAATATATCTTTTTCTGTCAGCGTATTCCACACACGTCCAACGTATAATTTTGTTGAGATTGTTTCTTGAGCAGGGGGCATTTCAAAAGATGGCTGCTGAGAAATTCTGTTAGTAAAGTGGTTTGGAAGTTTCACCTGAAACATGAGACTAAAAAGCATAGAAAAAAAACGGCTTAAAGAAATGAAAAAGGAGACGGAGGAGATGAAACTAAGGATTGATTGTAAAGTCGAGTACCATAAATACACAGGAATTTCTTATCATGAATCATAATGTAATTTACTTCATTTAATATCCAGTTGATGTTGTTTACGTAATCGAATTTAACTATCGTATATCAAAATAATACTACAAAAAAAAAAAAAAAAAAAAACGGAGACAATAAGGCCAAAAAAATGCTTCCTTCAAACCATTACTACATTAAGATAGGTATGTGCCGCTAACCTGTGTTACCCTCCCATCGATAAAAACTTCTTTATCCCGAAGCACTTTGTCCTGCGATTCAATATCAGCGAATTTCACAAAACCATAGCCTTTTGGCATATTGGTCTTAAAGTCACGTTTGACCTATAAATGTATGCAATTAATAAGTTGACATCAACATTCCATCTATTAATGGAAAAAATGAAGTTTATGGAAACTTCATCCTAAAAAATTGAGTAGGGTGAGTCAACATGTTAAGTTAGAAAAACGCGTCCCGCTCATAAACACATACGTACACACTTTCAAACAGACAAATAGAAAGAACAATCGATCAGAGCAAACCTCAACATACTGAACTTCACCGTATTGTTCGAAAAATTTTTTGAGCGCCTCCTCATCTGTTTTGAAAGAGAGATTGAGAACGATTAAATCTACCGGTACACGCAAACTTTCATTCAGACTACCATCCCAGCCAGAGCGTTTTTCCCCTACTAGATCCCCCATATCATCGTTTGACCGCCGTTTTCGATCACCTGCTGCTAAAAACACAAATTCATTCAAACATTTCTCGCAAACCAATCCTGTTGACATTCACTCTGCTTAATTTAGCAGACGTACAAAGAGATTCATGAATAATATCAACAGGGAAATGCAACATAACTTGGTTTATCTTGTTTACTGTTTGGTTCAAAACAAAGAATTATTTGAAGAAATCAATCAAAACTTACGAGATGCAAAGATTGCTACATAACGTCGCGTTCCCCAACCACCTTTTGGTGGATAAATGCATCGCTTTTGTTCATCTACTCTACAAAGATAAACAAAACTAGTAAATGTCAGGTGAATTAGTTTATTACCATACGTTCATTTAATCAAAATGTATACTAATAGATCCAAATATATACGCTAAAGTTCGATAGATTCCAGTCGTCTGATTTTTGAATTTTAATCCTATAGCTTCAGGGAACGAATGTGCAAGTGTAGCTATCGGTAAGTTACCATCGTCATCAACAGGAATTTCAAGCATATTATTGCCATCTTCAGCGGAACCTACGCTTATATATCCATCAAAATCGACCGCTAAAAGAAAAATTTTAGATAACAAAAGACCCAAACTATCCATGACAATACTGTCCTTCTTGATCCTGATTTAAGAAATTCCTAAGGACAAAGCCCTATTAAAAACCCGCTAAATTTGTTTATTAATAAATAAAAACTGCAGTAAAACACTACAATTATGAAGTCTTATAAGCCAGGGAAGTACTTTTGTCAGCGATTTTACCTGGCAAAGATCAAGGAGAACTTCGAGATGCATAAGGCCAACATTCGTGAATTTAACAAAACCTACAAGTGGGACCTTTCCTAACAGACTGTGCATCAACAGATAGATCCGATGTCTCCACATTCAACTTCGTCTCCGCATCTTTTATTTGTTCGAACATTGCGTTGTTCTGTAAAAAAAAAAAAAAAAAAATGTAGATTGGTTTCAAATTTAGAAACTTATTGACTTTTAACAAAGAATAAAAATTAAATGGTAAAAACTCTGCTTGACTTATTAAAGTTTGACAGCCGTAACACTTAACGAGTGCGTTACGTAATACATTTCAAAAAAATTTGAACAAAACAACCGTAACATTTTGTGGTTGTACGAGAAAAGAAATAAAGGAATTGGCCAGGGGAAAAGAAAAACTATAGTACAGTTTACACAACTCATTTGTCCAACTTAAAAGTCATGAACACCCTCTTGAATGCAAGTACCGGCAACCCTCCCGCGACACCTCGAGACTAAACACCAATAAACAGAAGACGAGCTACTTCACTCTACCCTAACGCAAATGTACAGCATCATCGACTGGTTAAATTCGACCAGTTCTATTGTTCGTCCTTGCATATTTCGCGCCGCTAGCTATGAAAGCTACTATGAAAGGGGTTCTTTCTATTATACATTCGGGGTAACTTAGCAAGGTTGTGGGCAGGGTTGACCGGACTATTGTCAATATTGTAAATAACCGGATATCATGTATATTTACACATTTCTGCATTCAGCATATATTTAAATACTCATATGCGTCTATGACGTTCTTTGTGTGTCGTAATAATAATATGCATTAAATGCAGGTAATGGAGAGCACAAGGTCGAGAAATCGTACAAACTCAGTTGGCAGTGATACACAGTCAACTAGAGATGTGCTACATGCGAAGCTTTCTCAAATGGTATGACTGTTAGGATAAAAAATTGAAATGATAGTAACTCCTTTTTCCTTTCCGTTTTGCTCCATGTCTATGCAAAATGGTAATTTCGATAATCTTTCAGTGGCAAGTAATTCACAAACGATGCTTTCCTTTTTGGCTCTTCTTCCCATTTTAAGTATTAGGAAACACTTGCAATATTGATCAGTTAGATTGATCCATCGATTGATATTCATTAATTTATTAGGTATGAAGTAATAAAAGTGATGTCAATGTAATAACATAGAAGCAAAGAATCGTGTATACTACTGCATCAGTGCACAGTGTATCATTACCGTTCATATGCTTATAGGTTTGGGAAGCAAGTACTAAGCAAATGAAAGACACATTAAATTCCTACGGTCGTATCGACTTATTTCGACCCTACTTTGATGTGGAACCACGTCAAGTCCGAAATCGCTTGATACAGTCTTTCATACCTCGGAAACCGTCGCAGATGCATGTTTCTAATGATATGTATGGACCAACAATGATTATTCTTACTTTGGTCGCCTTGCTTCTCTATTCTATGAAATCATCTGGGTAAGCTCTTCACTGTGAGAAAAACAAAACTGCAGTCAACAGTGTAGTTGTTGAATTTTCTCTTCTCAGCTAAATTTTGCTCTAATTAGTTTCGAACTTCCTTGTGATAAATGTACTTAGCGGCTTATTTTTATAAGCTTGCATTCTCTGAAACCAAGTCTTTCTTTCCAAAGCTATTTTAACAGGTAGTTTTTTAAATGAAGAATCCCATATTTCTGTAATAAAGTAATGATTATTAAAAAGTGGACCTTTGTAAGTTTATGCAAGTCAAGATTTAGATAATCATACATGATTGATAGCTTTGTGTATAGAGTTAAATCTTATAATTATTTTGAGATAGTACAATCTCAGGTATACTGTTAAAGATGGTACTTTAATCGGTACAGCAATGGTTACTTGTTTCGGTGCTTGGTTTTTCATGTCTTTAGTGATATATGCATTGTGCTTGGTATTTAGTGTGGATATATCTTTCATCCATTTCTTCTCGTTATATGTAAGTCTTTGTGTAGTTCCTAAATTATTTAAGATAGTTTCTTTAGAGAGATGGCAGTACTAACAAAGAGTTAAGTAGAAACAGAAGTGACTTCGCCTTTTTCATTTAAATTCGTTTTCTTTTTCAGGGATATTCTTTATGCAGTCACTGCATAGTACTTTTACTGACAATGATATTGCATCCACTGCATTCACATTTATTCTTTTATGCAATGATGATCATCTTTTGCGTCCCGTCCGTCTTGCGAGTGGTAAAAAATCTTATGCCCAGAGTTTGTGAAATCACTTGGTTTATTTTTCAGTGGTTGCCCCATCTATGACTTATATTTTAGTGTTTGTATTTATGCTCACGGACTCATGACAAATCTCACAAATTAGCTATTACTATGGCAGCTTATGTATTGCATCTCAGCTATCTTTGTTACTTGCATTACGGTTTCCACGTCGTTGTTGAAGGTAATCTTTTTATGTCAATGAGTTTAATCGTAGCAATAGATGCCAAAATGTTATACATGAAGAAATGCGTAAATTATAACTGTGAAGAGAAACTAAAGTGTCCTGAACTGTTACAACTACATTTTCTGCCACTGAAGATTATGCTAAAATAAATTACAGAAATTGGTGGAATTCTTGGCGATGTGCAACAAAGTTCAGTCGTTTCTTTGCCGTTATCACTGAAATCATAAGCTTAGCTATGTTCCTCTTTGTTAATGTAATCCATCAAGTCTTTCAATTTAATACAATTGGTGTACAAAATGCAGACTTTTTGCCGAATGCGGTCCATGAATTTTATTGAGATATCACTTGTCACTCTTTCAGCTTCCGTAAAATGCATGCAACATTAATTATACGTTTTGATAATGGACGACATCGGTTTGACCTACTAAGCGTCATTTCTACAGTTCAGTATGCTGTAGGGCAGTAGAGTGTTCTTTTAACACGTGAGTTGAAATCTGGAAGAGGAAAAAAGGGAAGGGGAAAGCAGTTTGAGAACTTGACAAGGTGTTAGTAAATCGAGAGTTGTTCATTTATGTAATAAAGCAATGTTGAAAAGGTACTCATTTTTTAAAGTGAGCAGACGACTTAATTTCAATGTTTTTACTGCATACATATAAGACGGTTTTTACTAGTTCTAGTAAGAAATGTAAAGAAGTAATGCTTTACCGAAATGTGTAGCTCGTTTTTTCATACAAATCTTTATTAAATGGAGCTTTTATCAACGTAGCGATCTTCAAAAGGAGTACTACTTACTTTCCGTTCAATCTGTAACTGAAGATGCAGAATACTCCGGATATAAAAAACTTTCGTTATAAATGTCTGATTGAACTTCTGCCAAGAAATAAACTGGTATCGTTAATGAAATGTCCATACATTAAATTCTTTTCATTCATGTAAGGCATATCAAAATATAATGAGAATAAAACGAAAGCCTATATGATACTGATGACTTCTTGTGTCTTGACCAACTTAAAATGTGTTGTACATTGATTTCCCGAGATTAAAGGATTCTATAAACTTGCAAAAACAGGAATCTGACAAATTTAATCTTTGCTGATCTGAAAGCTACTGGAATAAACAAGAACAACTTTTTGTTCATAAAGTATGAATGCGTTATTAGAATGAAAGGAGAGAAACAAAACGAATTTTGGATTGAAGGTATCTGTCTTTAAAAAATATTCTGCTGAAGCGAGAAGGCATTAGCCCATGTACTGAACCAAAAATAAGATTTGTCAAGGCAGTTCACATGCATTATGATATCGATAACATGTAGGAGACTAAAACGGTTTTCGGATTCTATGATAAAGTTTCTTAAGGTCATGCTTTATATGATGCAGAAAAGTAACTGCAACTGTTTAATAACAACAACAACAAGCTGCGAGTAAAAATCAAAAGATAGAACTTAAACAAGAAAGTAAAACTTAAATCACAATCATATCTCTGAATATAGAAATAGACGACAGGAACCAAACATGCAGGTTCTGAGCTGACGGAAACTTTAGTATTTTAAATGATCGAAAACCACGTGTTCTTCAATCATCACTCCTGCTCGAGCCGTTTTCTGAAATAAGTGCATTTGTGATCGATTCCACTGCATACAAACCAGCGATGTATTGAAATGGAATATACTCGCTAACAAATGTCTTTCGATAATATATGGTATAGGTCTAGGATGTAAAGTGTGCTTTAGCATATTCCGGATGAATCATAAAAAAGAAAAAATATGTAAATAAATCCGGCAAAATTTAAAGGAAACCTTAGCCATTATTATTTCATCATCCCAACGTATTGCTCCAATTTTTTTAATTGCGGTAACGAAAAGGGTTTTAGCTTTATCCGAAGATTCTTGCATTCTTTGAGCCACCAAATCAACTGATACCTTAAAATCGACTAAATTGAAAATATTACATAGTAATAAAATGCTTCAACATCTCAAAAATCCTTCTTTCTTTTTCAAAGTTCCTTAATCTTGCTTTCTTTTAATTAAAATTAAAACAAGAAATATGACCTTTTCACCCTCTCTCCAGCAATCATAATCCGTTACAATAGCAGTTGTTGCAAATGGAATCCCCAATTCTTTCGCCAGATAAACCTATTAAATAATAATGAAGATATGGAATTTATGCACTGAAGAATGCAAAAGCTCCATTAGATTCAAACTACTTGAAATTTCTACAGAAATGACCATCTACATCCAAATAAATCACAGTTTTGATAAGAAACTGGAAATTGTTGGCTAAAAAGCCTGCCACTGTCTATAGTCTTAATTGATCAAATGAAAAAACCTTACAGACGATAGTATGAATCTCTTTTGACTGGTGGTACCAGATGTTATTATCAAAACTTACTTCTGGACAAACGGTCATATTGATAATATCAGCATTCCAGCCACGGTACACTTCACTTTCAGCTCGAGAGGAATATCGCGGTCCTTCAATACATATTGCCGTTCCGGTTTTGAAAATTTTGTATTTGAGTTCTTCAGCAGATGAAATTAAGATCTAAAACAAATAACCATGGTGAGAGAGAGTAAGCAAATGGTTTATTTATTTACTTTAATTTTTTAACTTTCTCCTTTTTTGAACAAAAATTCCAGATATTTCTTGGGCATTGTCAAATCAAATACAAATTCTTTTCTAAGCCGGAACACCTGTCTTAGTTTTTCATTGTACGCTGGATACATGGGAATGTGACATACACCTTTAGGATGGCCATTCTTACCATCATGGAATGTTATTTCACGCTTGAATGTTCTGAAATTAAATGCTGAAATATTGTTTGATTAAAATTAGAAACATACAGAAAGAAATAAATGTATCAGAAAAAATGAAAAAATTTTTTCACCTATCAATGAAGGAATCCAAAAACACAAATGAACCCGGTGTGACTTCTTCTTTTAAACTTCCGGATGCTGCTGTAGACAAAATGACTTTTGCTCCTTAAATGAAAGATATAAAGAATCATGTAAATTCGAAAATGCACAAATAGTTCAAATTATCGGATTATGCAGAAAAGTTCTCAAGAACTATTTAAAGAGTGTAGTGTGACAAAATTACCTTGCTGCATAAGGGCCCACAAATTTGCTCGATAATTGATATTTGTTGGAGATACGTTGTGTTCCCGACCATGACGTGACAGAAGAATACAGGTAGTATTGCCAACTTTCCCTTCGACAAGAGCATCTGATGGAGAACCAAACGGTGTACTCACCTTGTACTCCTGTACATTATTAAATATTTTCGGGTCCTCAAGACCAGTTCCTCCGATGATTCCAATCTAAACAATTCATTGCTTCAGCGATTCTTGTTTACTCTGTAATCCTATTAATATGGAAAACATCTGTAATATAGGAAATTAGAAAAAGACATCCTGAGATATTTTCTATATGTGGTAGTTCAGAACACATTTTTACTAGAAAGGATTGAATACTAAATTGGCAACCTTGAAGTCCATTGTTAATTACTGGTCCTTTGAAGCAGTACGGATTTAAATTGTTGGTTGACTTCTTTCAGTGTATTCGCACGCGGTAAACAAAATATGAGTGAGTGTACGGTACGAAGAAAAAAATAGAAACGGTAGGACCAAACTTTTGCTTCAAACTTCTGCCAAACTCGAAAAATCGAAAAATGAAATTAAAGAAATGGCCTACCAAATGGGAACCATCAGCAATCAGATAAATTCAAAAACTTAATATTGATTTAAAATATCGAATTACTTGAAAAGATTTTTTTTTCAGATAAATGGTGTATTGAAACACAGCAGCAAAGAAAAATAAAACTCACTAAGAAATGGGATTTTCCAAAACATTATGAAAACATTAAATTAGAAGGCAATTGGAAGGCTACATGCAATTGAGCATTTAAATATGACCTATATACCTTCAAAAAACAAATCATGTCTAAAATAAAATAATTAAACTCACCACAATTGAACATGTCAATGAATTTTTGTCTTTCTCAGCTAAATTTCCTTGGAAATAATTTCTAACTTCATTATGATAAATGTACTTAACGGTTTTTTTTTTTATAAATTTGCATTCTCTGAGACCAATTCTTTCTTTCCAAAGCTATTTTAACGGGTCCTCTTTAAATGAAGAATCCCATATTTCTGTAATAGAGTTATTAAAAAATGGAACTTTTGTAAGTCCATGTAACTCAAGTTTTATATCATGTATTATTGATAACTTTGTGTATTGATAAGTTGATCTTAAATTATTTTGAGAGAATCTCAGGATTACTTGCGAAATGGTCTTCAGAAGCACATTCTTGAAGGTGATAAATTCTGGAATTTTTACTTATTTCACATCTCAATATGCTGTTATTTGCATATGACAGGAAGTTAAACTTAGAACTATCCACTATCCGACAAAGCACTTGTAAGGCAGATACAGTAAAAGAAATGGACTTATAATAAAACAAGAAACGTTTGGCCATAATTTTAAGTCTTTTTTCTTTCTTTTAAAGTAGTAAGCTTTTTTATGAAAACTTCACTACTGAGACAGCCAGGATAATTCCGACTTATACTAAAAAATATAAAAGCCAACATTAAACTAGCATGCTTAATGGATTTCTCCAAGAATCGTATTGTATTATATTAAGAATTAGGAGTGGTAGAACTTTGATAATTTGTTGCAAGAAGAATATGTATAATACGCTTCTTTATAAAAACTTCACTCGGGAATTGATTACCATGTGGTGAAAACCAGATTTAATAAATGGACTAGATAACCATTATTTTCTGAAATGTTTGACTTGATGGAAAGAAGGAAAGATGAGATTGTTGGCATGCATATAGATTGTTATATATCGAAATATTTTCAAATTTTCAAATCTAAAAAAATATGACATATGTAAATGAGCCAGAATAGCCCAGAACATATCGTTTCTGATGATCCTAAGGCTATGTTAATGACCTATTCTATAAATGTACTGCAAAACATAGCAAGATCTGTTGATTTTTGTACAACAAATGAGGATGAATGTGGCTGATATCATACAGAAAGGGAGAGAGAGCCATAATGTTTCGTCCCTAATAATCCTAGGCTTCAAAAGAACTTGTCAAAGTAACACATCCTCGGTTGTCCCATCTGTTCGTCCGATGCATAGCAAGCCAATCCTGAACCTGTTTGACCATTGCAAGTGGGCAGAGTGAGGAAAGGGACGGCGAATTGCACAATTCTAGCTACTCTCTAGACTTCAAAAAAAACCGAGAAAATCTCGGTGGATTTTCAACCGAGGTTATTTTTCTATGCATATTACATCAGCGCTATTTCTTAATAGTTTAATTGGAAATTTAATCATTCTTGGTATAATAATATCGCGAAATAAGAGCTTTGAATGAATTTTTCTTCTAAAAGATATATATCTCGGTATATTTGAGAAATGGACAAATTGTACTTACATCATTGAGGGAACAACAATGTAACGTAATATGGTGGAAATGCTTATTTGTATTTATCATATATTAATACTAATATCTTGTAATTCAATATGTCTGTTGTGTGTTTCATTGAACGTACTAAACGTACGGCTGACAATCTTAGTTCGGCTTAATTTTGGATAGAAGAAGCAAATAGATATTTTAAACATCTTGATGAATCATGCTAAGGTTTATTTCCCGATTAGATCTATTTTCTTTTTTTACTCGATGAAGAAGAAGGAGGAGAAATATCGGAGTTCCATGCTTGTTTCATCGAAAATTGTTAAAAATATGATCGATTCTTATCCATGCAGCTGTTATTGATCCTTTTCAGGCAGCAGCCCTTTCATCTTTGATCTTTGCATTGATTACAGTTCATAACAAGGAGATTTCACTTTTCAGTTGAATAAACAGTTCACATTCCTTGTCCATTCTTACAAATATTTACATATGGGAAGAGTGTTTTAGTGATTTATGAAATGAAATGAGCAGCATTAGTTGAAATTGAAATGAATGCAATCAGTGATTGCCAATAGCATTTGTGTGTTGGATGTTTGCTTAGAACGGTCAGTTGGCAATAGTTCCGTGCTATGAAGTTCTTCCGTAGACAACAACACACTGCTATTAGATTGGTTGGTCTTCACTTTTTTTTCCTAACTTCCTTTCAATTAATTTTTCATTTCTTCCTATCTGTGCAGTCATTCACTAATGGACTACCGATATACTAATTATAAGGTGAACCAAATCAGTTCATGGCATCGTTTGCTACCGGATAACCAATGGTAGAATGCTCAATTTCATCCTCTTACATAATTCGCATCATAGTGGGATTAGCTGAGTGGATCCGGAATAGGAAGGATAAATGACAGATTACTGGAGTAACATCATGATAAGTGGGATGTCGCTCTTTATGTTGTTTTTATAAAGAAAAGTTTTAAAACGAATGGAGGTTTTGCAGAGTCACTTCTTGTTACTGCATACGTCGAATAATTCTGTTGTTTGGAATTACAGAGAAAATGGCGCCCGTTAGTATATCACGTTCTACTATACGATTGCTACTCTGTAATGAGTTTAATTATCATGAGCAGGACTCACTGAATCAGTATGATTAGTAAAATCACCCTATAAATACTAATTTTGTGAAATATTTTTGCACCTGCCTTTAAAATAATACGAAATATACCTTTTTTCTTTTTATATTGCCTGTTGAAATTCATTTGGTTACAAAAGTTGCTGAGTTAAGTTACCATTTTTCGAACGATTTTTCTGCATTCAGCATAAAGTAGTGATACTCTTCTACTCCTGGTTTCCTGTTTTAGATAAGAAAGGAAGTAAGTTACATGTTGTTAAGACTATTCTTTCTCTTTCACTTTTGTCCAAATAATTTGCTCTCTATGCTTTTTAGAATATACATTTATTAAATAAATGCAAACTGCCAATTTTGCAATCTTTTCATTCCGTTCTTTACGTGGGTTGGTTTCACATTTTTTCGTCTTTTGAGCTATCTCTTAGGATTTAACGGACATACCAAACAGATCATAGACACTTTTTTCGGTTGCATATTTTTTTTTATTCAATTTTGCACTTAAAAAGAAAAAAACTGAGAGGAAAAAAGTCTTCATTTATGTGAATTTAAAAACAAAATATTGACTTTGAAGGTTCAGTTTGCAGCCTGGTCATACTTATTGTTATTATTTCAATACGACCAGGTTTACGAAATAAGAAATACTGCCTAATTCTCATGATCTCAGGTTCAACTATTTCTTTATGGCACAAATTTATGGATTGTTTGGTTCCTCCAAGAAGTTATCCCATCCAATTTTCGTCAGTTTGTTTCAACGAATTTTTTCAACACAGACTGGACCTGCAGGAAAATATATCTCGTAAACGGTCACTGTAAGAACAGGATGATTATAGGTTTTAGCCTACTTTTTATTTGTTTGTTTGTTTATCGCGCTATTGTTGATCTTTTCAGTTTACTAGCAGTTATGAAATTGAAACGTATTTCGGATAACCGTAGTGAAGTTTTATCTAACCCGTTGGAAGTGTAATTCAAGTATTTAAATCTTTCTGAAGCAGTATTGTTGAAGATCTATGACTGATATCTAGTCTTCTTAACAACTGAGGTTGATGAGGCGCACATCGATAAGCCCATAATAGTCCAATTGAAATATGAGAATGTCGCCTTTTCATAAAGAAATTGATTAATCTTTCTCAACTCCTAATTCAGCAACTTTATTTCTTTTTAGATCCCAAGAATGCATAGATAACGCATTCTCGGTTAATATTATGGTTCGTCCAATTTGATGATTGTGTAACTTCCCTTTCTTTCTTTTTTATTCCGCCTTTATCTCCTTCCATTGCCATTTTTTTCGAGGTCATGCGGTCAATTTTACTAGAGAACATGTTGTGAATGTATAGGAAATAAGGAATGAAATAGTGGATAACATCGATTTATACATGGTATGAACCTTGTAGAACCTCATTCTGCTCTATATCGATCTCTGTGTTATGCAACTATCAGTTACTGTTATAGTTTGACTTTCCGGTTTCTCCAAGCGACTTTCATTTGATCATTGATAGGATAGCTATGCTTCTAGCTTATTTCAATATCAGTTGCATCCCAAAAGAATCTGATTTTGCTGCCAATTACTGATTCTCTTCCAATGAATAGTGCAAGCGCAACAAAATCCGCAAATTCTATGCTTTTCTATAACGTCTCAAACAGTTAGACCTTTAGAATTCACTTTTAAGCTATGTTTTGTTGAGTATCAAAGAAAATGAAAAGAAACGGCAAACAAAAAAAGGAAAAGGAAGGTGTGATTTAGAAAATGAAATAGCCTTGGAAATGCTTTCATGAAACGAACGACAGAAAGGACATCCGCTATTTCAGGAAGTTTCCTGAGGGGATTTGTTGAATCGGTTGATTAGCAGGACACCGCCATTCTTTAATGGAGCTTCCTGGTAATAGAAAAATGGCAGAGAAACAATGATTTAGAATAGCTATGGAGAAAAAAAGTTAAATAATAGCCTCC